ATGAATCTTCCAGTAAAGCCAATCGACAGCTGGTCAAGAGAAATCCACCGTCGTCTTCTGGTGGAACCGATCTTCGAATCTCTTCCACAAACACTTTCATTCTAAATGGAAGTAAACTCAACACTTGTAAAAAGATGACCAGGGGAAGTGCCTTCACTTGTCACTTTGGTAGGTTGTAACTCTGTCCTAAAGAAGAAGGGCTAGATAGCTTTCATAAGGTCTCACTTTTGATCGACTAGGTTGTGAAAACCAGTTAAAGCTGGCGCTGGACTAATTATTGTTCTCTTAATTTTATAATTCATTTGTTTATTTATATTTATAAGCTATTAAACCACCTATAATTGCCTCAAAAAGCTGTGAGCACTCCAGTGGACAGACTCAGTCGGCGATTATTGTTGTATTTTAAGTCAGGAGCAGTATTTACCTTATGCAACTTCAAGAAATACATTTGGGTTAGCACGATTACAGTGAAACCGCTACCAACGTAACACAAATACTTGCGGCCATGCAAGGGAGAATGTAATATTTCACGCCCTCTGCATTACTAAAAGAGCATACGTTACCAAGGGGCTCGGCTATCGTGCTGGTGCTGAGCGTCCCTTTGGCAAGCGTTTTTATCCAGCATAGCTTGAAAAATGCCAGCCTGGAATTCAAGGTATCTCAGTCGAACTTCAAGTCAATGCCAGCTTATGAAGCAAGGTTAATTAGGAGGAAAATTTGGATAATACCGAAACAGCCTTACTGAGCTTATTCACGTGTACCTCTTTAACTCGGCTAAGGATTTGTCCAGGCCATTATTTTTACCTTAATATGGATATTTGGATATAAATCTAGTCAAATGAGGCGCTGATTTTGGCGAATTACAATAAAAAAATATTTTGAATGGTTGATTCATACTCTCTATTTGCTTCAGCTGCCTGCAAATCCTGGTATTGCAAGTATTGAGGGGCTCCCTGTGTTGCCAGCATTTCAGGAAGAAAAGTAGAGGCAGCAGGTTGAAGCTCAGATTGGAATTCTATGTACTCCTCCAGCGAATCCTTTTCATATCTCGACAACTCTAATTGCAAATATTCTGGGTCGATGGGCTCTGTCTGCATTTCCATCTCCTTGCATGTAAGGAATCCAGGTGTAGTGGATCTAGAAGATATTGTGCGCACAAACTCTAGGCCCGAGTCAATCTCCGTTTGGCATTCAATGCTGTTAAGCTCCCTGCCATATCGCCTAATCGACCCAGACCATTTATGCCTAGGATCACAGTTTAATACCTCCATTCCAACTGCAAATGCCTCTTTGAGCTCATGCGAAATCCACATGGTTGATTGCACTTCTGGATCGAGCAGACTATCTGCGACTAGTACTTCTGTTTGTGCCTCCACGTCATGGCTGTCGGATGACCAGGTAGCCACAAGGCCTTCTGTTTCAGTGCTTGACGACATCTTGTTATCTTCCATGTACCAATCATCGAACTCTTCGAGATCTTTATCTGCCGTTTGGGTGCCTATCTCACATATTATTTCCTGCCTCGAGGAGAAATATGTTGTTACTGGAGGATCCGCCATTAAGACATGTCTTTTCTGTCCATCGGCGTCATCTGAGATGGGCTCGGAGAATAGAATTACTCTTTCCTCCTCTACAGTCTGAGTGCAACGCTCGACTACCTCGGACATATTGAGGCCATAGAAATAACCATCGAGATCGTAGCTTCTTAGAGCCGTGGCGCGCATGCCAAAACTTGTTTCCGAATATCCCTTAAGCTCCGTTTGACAGCTGGCCTCAATATTTACCTGTTTGGTAGCTACTGGCACTGAGAAAAGAGATTTAATGTCCTCTGTATCTAGCTCTACCTCTTGGATTTGACCTGCTTGATATCTCAATAGGTAACTCTCATATTTGTCACTTTGACTTGAGGCGGGAAAAGACAAGGGCAGTGAAAGCTCACTGGATTCTTCGTCTTCTATCAAAGGAAGATCAACTTCGATACCAACATCTGCCAAAGTTGGCAATTCAGTTTCAGCCATACAGCCTAATTCACGAAGAAACCCATCATTTTGGCGATTAATGTAGACTTCGTAAATGCTTGGCTCCTCGTCCGGCTGCCCGATTTGGACATTGAAATCTGTTAACTCTTTGGTCTCATCCGTGTATGTCTGTGCCGAAGCCTCGTGCACACGCTCCTTGCTCTTTGCTAATTCATAGGATCGCAAGTCTGAAAAACAGCGATAATTGACTTCTGGGATGACTTCAATGCTCTGTGATAACACTGAAGTTCGAGCCTGAGAGCTCTGTTCCACTAAATATCCCTCGTCCCGATCTCGAAGATAGACCTCGAATGTAAACTTGGAAGGAAGTTGCTGATGTAACTCTGAAACCTCCTCGGGTGTTAATTCAGCGAGGTACTCAGGTATAGGCATTAGCAAATTAGTATATAAATTCTTGTCTGAAACTTTTAGCAAATTATGGTCAACCTGGGATGCCGTCTCACGTATCACACCCTTTTGATGGCATGTCAGGTAATCAGAAAATCTAAAGTGCTCTAAAAGTCGTTCCTTCATGTCGATAATAGTTTTCTCGATGAATACAATGCCTGGCGAAAACTCCTCGCCACAAGCCACGTCATTCTGTTCGGGCTCGTGGACAAACTGGATCGCTCGATGCTTATATGGACGGACAAGCCAGGCTGATGCGTTGGCCACCCGCTCATTGCGAATCAGCGTTGGCTCGCTGAATGTTATTGAACGGCCAATAGAAGGCAGATACGTTTGCGTGAAAGTCTCATTGGCAACTTTTAGCTGAATACCCCATGTATTCGTCCCGGTGTCTGGAAACCATTCATACTCAGGTTTAGTATCTGTGTCCGATTCCTGCTGCTCAACGATCGCCTCGCTTTCAGGTACCTGAACTCCCTGTTCCACAATTTCGCTTAAATAAGCCGTGAAGCCATCAGTGGTTGAATCAATCGGTTTGCATTCGATTTCTGCATCATGTCGAAGGTTCTTGGTCTGCTGCTCTTGACTGAAAATGGCCGGTGGTTCGGTGCTTACTGCAATCATCACCATATCAGCCTTTGCCTGACAACGTACTGACTTAAGACCAAGGAATGCTTCGACTTGCGTTTCCTGGGAAACAGTGTCCATGATTTGTCCGTGCCAGGTTGTAACAATATATTTCTTACGCAACTCCTGTAGATGTATCTCCTTATCGCCTGACTTTTGGGAGCCTTGGTTCTGGTTTATGTCACTGACTATTTCTCCGAGTTTGTCATATTCACTGCCAAGACTATATATTGCCCCTGTACTTAATGTTTGTGTGGCAACACCTCGAAATTCCCAGTTATGAGGATCGGAAGCTTGCTCCCGAATACTTGGCTTAACATTAGTTCCTTTATTCTTGGATCGCTTTGATGCTTGGATGCCTATCTCAGAAGAAGACCCTGTTTCGATACTATCTTCTTCATGGCTCGAGTACTGAAGAGAGTGTCTGTCAGTCTCAGTATCTGCTAAATTCATAGACACCTTAGCTCGAGACTCGTTTGATAGTGAGTCAACCGGCTCTTCCACCCTGGCTTCTGTCCTCATCGTCGTCCATGCATCGGCGAAAATGGTGGTCAATTCAACCTGACTTGGCGTTTCTATGGGCATGCACGATTTCAGAATAATAGGCCTGACGGCATGGAGTTTTTCTATCTTTTTGGCACTTTCTTCAGTAGGTGATTCCCATTGACTTGCCTTTTCTAATCCCGAAACAATTGATCTCCACTCAGTCTGACAACGTCGATGTCTTATTTCAGGAGTCGACATAGTGCCTTCGTCCACCACAAGGCAAATGTCAGTGTCTTCAGAGAAGCTAACTTGAACTGAATTTTTAAGTATAGCATATGCACTCGAACCATCTTGCACTGTCAATGTACTAGCAGCGCATGAAGACACATCCTTAAGAGTCAAAGTTACTGGAGCCAGTGATTTAATGTCTTTTGGCATTGCGTTTAGCTCTAAGTTCGCCTGCACTCCAACAAAACACAATTTGAGTTCTACTTGCGTTGACACTTCTTTATTACAGACGGTTTGCATTTGCGTGTCATCCGTCTGAAACTGCCTAGCTTCATCATACGAAATTTCTGCAGATAGAGGTTCTTTCATAATGGACTTATTCTCTTGCTTCGGAATATTTTGAACAGACACGACAGCCGTACAAATGTCAAAGAAATTGAAACCCTCCTTTATAGTCTTTATATGCTCTGTTTGCGAGGGTTTGCTGAGTTGAGAGGACTCATACAGTGTCTGTAACTGGGCGTTAAGCATGATGGGATCGTCAGTTTGTTGGGACTTTGAAAATAGCTCAAAGTCCTCTGTCTGAATGAATGATGATGAATAAATTAAGTGGTCAGTCTGTTCACCTCTTGCCATGCATTCTACCGGGAGACCATAAAAGCTACCAAAGTCGTGCCGAGAAACCTCATCTGTTAAAGAATATTGGTCCGAGCAGGGCAGAGTAATAGGACTTTGTCCGAAACTTTTCTGTAATTGGCTGGTTTGCTCTCCGGTTGCTCGCAGTATAACTTGCCAAGAGCTTACACCATTACGTAAATTTGGTTTCTCGACTGTTGCTACAGCCATTTCTTTTACATTCAACTTTTCAAAGAAGGAAGAACTCTGAACTGTAAAAATTTCTGTCATAACACCTGTGCTCATTTGAGATGAGGCGTTCACCGTTTCCTGTAATTATAACAGAGGATGCAACGTCAATAAAGAGTAAATGCTGATAATATATATTTCGAGATAAAATAT